AAAATAGTTGGTCTCGCAACTCCAGTGTCAAACACAGATGCTGCAACCAAAAAGTATGTTGATGATAATGCTGGAAGTCCAGATTTGAGTAATTATTTGAAAAAAGATGGTAGCGTTGCTATGACTGGTAACCTAAATCTTGGAAACAAAAAAATAGTTGATCTCGCTACTCCAACATCAAATACAGACGCCGCAACAAAGAAATATGTAGATGACAACACAGCTGCCCCAGATTTAAGTGATTACTTGGAAAAAGATGGTAGCGTTGCTATGACTGGAGAACTTAATGGTGGTGGTAATAAAATAATAAATATTGGTAAACCACTCCAAAATAGTGATGCTGCAACCAAAAAGTATGTTGATAAACTAGTTCATAGTACAGCAGTTCAACCAAGTCATTATAAAAATGAGTTTGCTTATCTTATGTCAAGTGGGTCTCAATGGACTGATGAAATAGATGGAAGAGTTAGTTTTATTATAAATAGGATAGATGACTTACCACCAAACAAAGGCAACTTTCACGATTATAATCACAAAGTTATTTACATGTATATAGCTAGAAATAACAATAAATATAAGTATAAGATGGGAATTAATTTTTACAGAATACCTGCAAATACTGATTACACGTTGTGTTTGGAAATACTCAACACAGATTATAATCTTTGGAATAAGTCTCAAATAAGTGTTGACAAAGGAACTTCAAAAGGATTATCAATTGGAAATGTAGGTATAAGAAAATTATCCCATAGGTATACTGATTCAAGAGGGCAAACACAAACTATGTACTACCATAGAATAATAGTTAATTTCCGAAAGTTGTCATCTGGTAATAAGTTCTTTCTTCACATTCTTGTTGATATTTCAAACAGAGGATATAATATTGCGAAATATCCGAGCGTTTTTCAGGGAGTTTACATAATTGCTTATGGTATTGTGGGTACATTTAGCAATATCGATCCAGATAAAGTTTACGACTATCACACCGCATTTGATATTAAACCAACAGAAGTGGTGTATAATGTTGACATTAACGCAAATCAAAAAGAAATTAAAAATATCAAACTTGATCGAAACAGTGACAATAGTGCTGCAACAGTTGCATTAGTAAAAGAACTAGCTCCTCACGCTAAAAATAATTTGTACAGAAAATATTTTGAAGAAGTTTTTGATTTTACTAATGCAACTAATTACAAATTAAGTAGAGGAGTATCTGGCGTTGTTTTTAACTATTTAGAGTCTATTACTGGTAATCCTATAAGAGATATGGGTATACCTGATAGAACCATAGATGATATAAGAGAAAAAGGTTTAAATGTTACTAATTTTGTTATTGGTTTTAGTCCTCCTGATTATATTACGAAATATAGTTTATGTATTATTTTTTATCATTGGAGAAATAGAAATTTTAGCATAACTAAAAAAAATACAGATAATGATAATATTTTAGTAAAATTGGATTATAATAAATCAAACAATAAAGTAACTTTAACTGTCAATAAAACAACTCAAAATTTTACCATGCTAAGTAGTTTTAATGGAAAAAGGATTGTTGTATGGCTGTTAGAAAATTTTAGTACAAATGTTACAAAAGTTAAAATAAGTAACTACAGCTCGACATTAACTATACCAGCCGTTCAACAATCCTATTTTCAACAGTTTAATTTTACAACTGATGATGGAGTATTAAGTAAAATAATGTATTCTCCAAACTTTTACGACACTGACTCTGAGCAATATCACAAAGTAATGCTTCAGGAAAAGTTAAATGGATCTTATATAGTATAAGGAAACCTATGGTTCCATCCTCCCTTGGATACGCCGCATTAATATACACAAAATAATAAATGAAAAGAAATAGTAGTATAAAAAAGAGTATTTTTAAATTTAATCATATCGACAAATCTTTATCAGAAGAGCAAAGAGAAACTAGAACAGACCTTTATAAACATTATCACAAAAAACATTGGTGTTATAAGAAATCTTATAAAAGTTATAAACTTTTAGATAAAATTTTTTCTATTTCTAGTTTATCTCTTATTGCTGTTGGCACTATCACAGGGGGATTAACATTAAATCCTATTATTCTTGGAGTAATAAATGGAGCAGGAATAATTGTGGGTGGAATTACAAAAAAGAAGGATTTTAAGAAAAAGATAGAAACAACAAAACTGGCTTATACCACTTATGAAAAAGTATTAGTAGAACTACGATCAGCACTCAGAGGAGATGAGTGGAATAAACAAGAATTTATAGATAGAATTAAAATTCTAGATGAAATGATAATTGATCAATGTCCATCGAGTGTTGATAACTTTGCAGAGAAGTATAAAAATAAATTTAATATATGAATTTAAAGATTAAATTTATAAATAAAATGGAACAATATGAAAAACTTAAAAAAGAAATTAATACTTTTTCCTTTTTAATAGATTTAATTGAAGAATATGAAGAAAATCGTAAAATGATTGATATAGTAATAAATGATAACAAAATTTTATATAAAAAAAAAGCTCAATATTTTTATAATTTTTGTTTAAAGCATAAAAAATATTTTCTTCATCAAGATTATCTTGATGAAGATTTACTTAAAAATATTTTGAAAATAAATTATAATTTTAGGTATCTAATGGATATTAGACATTCTATAATTTATTTATATTACTGTAATAAAAGGCTTAAAGATTAAATTACTAAATAATATAACCAAGTATCTGAGCAACTTTTTTTCTTGAAACCATACTCTACATTTTTCAATATTTAGACAAATATTGAAAACTAATCTAAGTATCTAAATTTGTATCTATATCCATCTTTTTGTGATTTAGCTGTTTTACAAGATTTTCTTTTACAACAAATACTCGAAATATTACCAGCATGAATATTTAATTCATCCGAAGCTTTTTTAATAGAAATATATCTTCTTTCTTTTCCAGTTTCAATATTGATAGAAATAATTGGTTTACTATTGCTTTTTTCAGAATTTTTTTGGGGAGTAAGTAATTGCAAATTTTTCAACCTATTATCAGATTTTATCTCGTTGATGTGGTCAACTTGAATACCTCTTGGTATCATTCCTTTAAAAACTTCATATACAAATCTATGTTGAAGATAATCTTTTGGTTTTTCCAGTTTTTTATCACTTATAACAAAACTTAAATATCCTCCTCTATTTTTTTTCATCTTTAAAATTTTTTCAGATTTTAAACTTAACACGTTTCCATTTTTAGATGCAGCATATCTACCAAACACAGGATGTTTATAGAATTTTACACCATCAAATATTACTCTTTTTTTTAATTTTGAATCTATCATTTTATAATATCCATATTTACGAATTGAAGGTAATACCTTAGTAAATACCCACTCACGAAACATTTTTGCAGCTGGTAATTTAGACCTAAACACTAATTCATAGAAACCAGCTTCATCTATGAATATAATCCATCTACCTTGGACCTGAGCCGACGAATCGACTGGTTGGCTTTTTTTATCTTTAATTACCTGACCGCGTGAAACACGCGGGTGGGTTAAAAGAAAAGTTTTTTTATGATTTTCACTTACATGTCTCTTTATAGCATCAACAGTATTTTTGTATCCTAATATTTGAGCTACTTGTTTTGCTTGAAACCATACTCTACATTTTTGATCAATATATGAGTTAAATTTTATTCCAAGTTGCTGGTTAATGAATTTTTTCTCTTGCATTTATATTTTAATTTTATTTTTTTAAGCAATAAATAAACTTTGGTGTTATTTCTATCTATTCATAATATAGAAATGATTAGTACAATAGTGGAATATGTGAATCTTTACTTCCCAACTTATAAAACACAATTTTATCCAGATAACTTTATAAAAGCTTGTCTAATTTATCAGTTTCTCTACGCAAAGTATTTCTCACAAAAACTAGAAATAGATCAAATTATTTATAAACTGACAGAAGAAAGACACTACCTAAATTCAGATTCAAATATCATTACCAACCATCTAATATTCAGTCTTGCTTTTCGTGCTTTCTGGAAACATTATAGAATTGGAGGAGGATGTGTATATGCAATCAACTCACCTTTCAAAGAATGTGAAGTACTTGGTTATCTAACTGGGATAATTTACTCGATTTTTCATAAAGGATTAAAATAATATAATTTATAAATAAAATGGCAGATGTTATTATAAAACACAAAGATGTAAAACGTCTTGCTAAAAAATTACTAAATGAAATGTTTAAATTTTTACATGATGAGTATATACTCTCAGAATTTAAAGAAATGAAAGAAATACAAAAAGAATTTCTAAATCGTATTTGTGTAAATCATATTAATACGTTACATAAACAGAATAAAATAACAAAAGAAAAAAGAGAAGAATTAATTAAACCATTTTTAAATAATGGTGAAAGTATTAAAGTTTTATACAATTCAAAACTTGTAGAAGATGCTATGAAAGATAATGGTATTGATACAGAAGGAATATATTTTACTCTTAATAGATTATATCTAGATATGGAAATAGATGAAGATCTATATTATAAAACAAAAGCATTTTTAGATATTTTTAGAGTATTTGAAAGTGGATATACTTATTTAGAAGATTAAATTTTATATTTCTTAAAAATATAAAATTATTTCTTGGGTAAACCTAACAATCTTCTAGCTTCTTTTCTTTTTAATTTGTAAAACTCTTTTTCTAATTCTTTAAGATATTTTTCTTTTGATATACCATCTGGTGGACTAGCGTCTTCAAAGAAATATTCAAATAAATGTCCATCATCAATTGAATCAAACAATTGTTTTGCTTCAAATTTAGGCGATCCAACAACTCGCTTACTCATTTTATTTAAACATTTATTTCTTTAGACTATTATAACTATCCCACCACTTTTCATAATTCTCTAAAGTTTGAGGGCTAATCTTTAGAGAAACTAGTTTGCTCTTTCCACAACCCATTTGCTCCAAAAGTTTTTTGATAAGGTAAAAAATGTTTATCATTCTTTTCCGGCAAAATTGTTTGTTTAGTATTTCCATGACATGGTTATCTATTATCATTAGTTTGTTATAAAGTTCATACTTTTCATTATCAGTTAGATGTAGTCTTTTGGAAATTTGATCAACCTTTTTCTCATAGTGATACTTTCTCTGATAAATACTCTTTTTTCTATAATGAAATCGATTGTATTCTTTCAAGTCAAAATAACCAAGAACATGGCCATT